TTGTTGGGACGCCAGGACCTGACTTTTCTTGCTGGCGATCTGGCACTTAAACTCATTGATGATGCAGTCTGCCATGGACCTGGCAGCAATATTGAGCTGGCTGACGATGAGGCTGTAACTGCGGCCGTGACACTGGAGCAGCAGATCATCTATAAACATCGCGAGCCTGATATGACAATGCGCCTGCGTCCACACGTCGAGCGGGGCGAGCACATACATTTGCACAAGATAGGTGGCCCAACTGCATCCTGCGGCAATGCCCCTCCAAGGCTTGCCTACACTGACTGCACAATCTTGTAGTGCAACTATGCGTTCGCTGGCATATTGAGATAATATGATACGCAATAAACAACACGGAAAACCTGATTCAACAGCGCGGTAAGCGAGACATGGCCGATCAACATGTTCGTAGTAGTTAGATAAATCGTAGAGAACTTGGGCACTATATTGTTGATCTTTGTCAGAGCTGTTGAACTCGCATTCCAAGGATTGTTTGTATACTAATTCCACTATGGAGTGACCAGCCTGATGAGCAAGGTACGACCTGCGGTGGTGTGCCTCCCACTCTCTGGCCGCTGACCTCCTGAGCCTAGCCCAGACTCTGTACAAAGCTGGAAGCATGCCAATGGACCTGAAAGAAGGCTGACTGGCTGGGACATCATGCTGTTTCAACTTCATCATCAGAGTCGATACGATACCTTGGAGCTGGGTTGGCATATGTCCAATCTTTTCAAGCAGGCCAATAAAATCGCAGACAATCTCTGCCTGTTCATTATTCAACACACTGAAATGCCCAGGGTGGAAACCGTCCCAGGTAGAGGCAGTGGCATGGGGAAAACTTTTCGCAACCTGTCGTAATCTCTTGGGGCTGATGGGGCCCAGGGCAATACGATCATCTCTGTCAGGAACGAGTTGTGGTGGGGTCTCCTGGGAAACCTGCCATATTTTTGCCAGACGACCGGCTTCTGCCTGCAATATATGCTGGGGCCTGCCAGAATACTGCGACTTAAATGGAACTGACGAGGGCCCCCAGGCCTCCAAACGCTTGGTCCATCTGTGAGCCCATCCCATTCCTCCCTTCATGTTGTCCTGAACCCAATCCCTCCATGCCTTCCCGTCTGCAGCGTTCTCTGCCGCCTACTCCTGATACAGGAGCTCGGTGACGTGCTCTAGCAGCTCGTCCAGAACCTGGATCGCCAGCGCCTGGTTCAGGGCACCAGCGCTGAAATCAACGTGCAACAAACCTGCAGCAACTCTAATCTCTTGCAGCCCCTCCTTGAGGGACACGACGGCGGTGAACAGCTCAGGGCAATCCTCTAAGCTGTCGAGAGCGTCCTGAAACTCAGTGAGATTCCAGTCCTGAACACATCTATGGAAATCTTGAATCCTATTGATGAGCCATCTCAACGGGCCCGTGTAGGCCACCCATTTGGCCCTACTCCTAGCAGCCTTGGCCTCAGCGGGGACCATAAGAACCTGAGGGGGGTGGGCCCTGGGGTACTTGCTAGGCTTGAGGGGGCGTTAGTTTTCTTACTGATTGTAGCTTCCAAGTCCTGGGCCAAGCTGAAATACACGTGGTCCAGGAGCACCGACTGCTGTTGATCGCTGAGCGGCCGTCGAGCATCATCGATCAATTGTGAAGCGTACTCCAATGCAGCAGCTGACTGGTGCCAACTCACTTCTGGCAATTGCGGGCCCACAGGGATACGTGCGGGTAGCTTCTGGGGCCTATGCAGCGTGGGGATATTAAAGTTATTCAACTACAATATCTAGCAGCACAGGTCTGTGAGGGGAGAGAGGATACGAGGAAAGAGCACGGGGGTTACTGAGCCACGGCGAGAGGCCTTGGCTAGACAGGAAATAATCTAGAGTGGATTTGGTCTTCTTGTTTCTGTAGGTGGCGGTCGGCGGCACAAGCAGGGTCATCGTGGACCTGGACAGAAACTCAGCTTGGGCCAACCGAGAGGGGGCCAGGTTAAAGTCCCCCGCAACCAAAACTGGATGGGTCAAATCATCCTGAAATTGGCCTATGGCGGCCAGAAGTTTTAAATTGGTCTCGGAGAGACCAGCAGCAGCCTGAAAATAGGTACTACATATGGCGAACGTCGGGACCCCTGGAAGTTCAAGCAGCACCCCCGATAATCGAGCGGGGTCGAAAGCGGCGGAAAAAGTGATCGGCTGGACCCCCAAATCCAAGCCATCCCGAATCAAAATCGCAACTCCCGAAACCAACTCATTATTCTCACTCTTGGCTGCAGGCGTGATGCAAGCCAGCCACCCCTGGGCCGAGCACCATTGTATCCGACGCACAATGCTATCTCCGTCGGCAAGCTTACACTCCTGAGCACAGATGATCGCGACTGCACTGGACTGCGGCGAAAGAACAAACTTGCGAACAGCAGGCCAGCAAGAACCATTGATAGTAGCGATCTTATAAGTGTTACCCTGGCGGCTTCTGGCCCTGGGCGGCCGCGAGCGCCGCAGCCTCGGCCGCCGCCTTGACCCTCTTGGTCTCGGGGCCTGACTCACTCTGGATCTTGGCCATGCCCTGGGCGACGTCGGACAGCGCAGCAGCCGCACGGCGGCGGCCTTCAGACGTGTCCATGGCCTGCGCCTCTGCCATGGTCTCCAGCCCCTTGTCGTCGGCAGGAGTGGGGACGTGCTGGCCTGGGATAGGCGCGGGCATCTGACTTGCCTGGTCATCCTCAGGGCTCTCTCCAACTGCAGGGAAACCGTCGATGATAACCCCGCGCGGAGCTGCCGCCGCAGGCGGGCCGCCACCTGCTGGCGCGCCCGAGGCCTGGGATGCGACGCGTTGCTGCTGCAAGGTGTCGAACATGGCGGCCAGCTCCGATACTTTGTCTCGAAGTTCAGGTGGGGCCAGTCCTCCCTGTGGCATTCTGGCGGATATAACTCCCTGAATGGTGGTGAGCAAATCTTCAGCTTTGGATGCCTCATACGCAGCCGCCTGGGTGGCCGCATTGAGCTGCGTCTCCAGCGTCTGCACTTCTTTTGTATTAGCTTCGATATCCTCGACCAGCTTGCCGTGATATTCGCTTGCCTCGACAATTGTGGTAACCAGCTCGCTGGCCTCCTGCTTCTGCGACTGCAACCTCTGGCGCAACACCTGGAGCTGATCTGACAAGGACTGTGCTCGCTGCTCCAGGCTCTTGGCCGACAACGCCTGCGCCTTGGCGAACTTGAGCTTGCCCAACGCCGACTTGTGCTCCTCTCCATCTGGCTTCCACTTCTTCCAGAAGGTGACTTGAGCTTGAGCCAGGGCGACTGGGTCGTCAGCGGGAACTGCATCCTCGAAGGTGACCGCTCGGCCGCCTCCGCGCCCCAAGCCTGGTGGGCGCTCAGGACCGCGGGAGCCTTTCCTCCAGCGTCCTGGCTTGGCGGGCTCCTCCTCGACGTCAGGCCGAACATCCTGGGGGCCACCTCCACCACCTTGGGGTCGAGCTGGGGGACCGTGATCCCCGCCCTGCTTGAAACGGCTGCCACACTGCATACAATGACGAGAATTCGTCGAGCACCAAGCCCAGCCTTTGCAGCCCCGCTTCGAGCAGACCAGGTACTTCTTCTGCTGCTGGGCGGGCATCTCCTGATGGCGGCACGCTGGCGCACGCACACGAGAGGCCCTATGGCAGCACTGATGCGGGACGTGATTGTGCCTCTGCCTGGGGCTGACCAGGCAGGCACGGGGGCAGAGCAAACAAGCTTGGGCCCCAGCACCCAGGGCCTGCCCTGGATGGCAATGCTGAGACCTGCACCTCCCGCGGTGTGCTCAGGTCTTGAGCCAGGAGGAGGAGGAGGAGGAGGAGGAGGAGGAGGAGGAGGAAGACGACGATAATCCTTCCCCCTCCTCCTACTCCGAATCTGGCTCATCCTACCTCCTCCTCCCTCCTCCTCCCTCCTCCCTCCCCCTCCAGCTACCACAACACGACCCTACCGTGCCATGGCTGATATCGAGGAACAACGACTGCATAGACATAAACTTTCGGAAATCCACGCGGATTTCTTGTACCCCCCCTCCCTGGCGCGCTCTGCGCGCTAGGGGCGGCGCCAGAGGCGCCACTGTGGGGTCCGAACGCCGATCCAAGAAATCCGCGCAGAGCTCCGAATGTTTCCGTCTGTGGCGGTTTCCCTTCTTCGAAAACAACCCTGCTTCGGGAATCGATTGGCACGGGTCGGTCCAAAGCCGGGCCAGCCAGGGCTTGCAGGACAAGACCTGGCGACCCCCGCATCAAGGCCCCCGACTGCGCCTCCCCTGCTTACCAGCCTCGAACGTATCCCTATCCCTAAGATTGACACGTCAAAAGGCGATGACAATCTTGGGGCCCGCCCTCAGAAAATGAGGGAATCCCTAAGAATGGCATCGTGATGAGGAGGTGCCCAGCATAGGGATAGGGATATGTTCCAGGCTGGTAACCTGCACCCCACCGGCGGGCGGCGTCCGCGCCGCCGCGCTCCGCGCCCGCGGGCGCCCCGGCCGCTGCCAGCGCCGCCCCGCCTCCGCGGCGCCGGCCGCAGCGCTGGCCGCGCCGCCGCGCCGCAAGCCACGAGCGACGGCGGCGGCTGCCAACGGCGGTGGCCGCCAGCGGCGGCGATCGCGCGGCGGCGGCGGCCACGGCGGCGGCCGCCAGCGGCGGCGGTCGCGCGGCGGCGGTCGCGCGGCGGCGATCGCGCGGGGGTCGCCGCGCGTCGGCGCCCCGATCGTGGCGCACGGCGCGCTCCTGACGCGGCTGCGCCCTCGACCAGGCCCAGAGAGGCCCCAGGCGCGATGCCGCAAGGCGCGGTCCCGTGGGCTGCGCGCGTGCGCTCCGCGCGGGGCATGCTCGCAGGGAGTGCCAATTGCACGCGTGCCAAACGCATGTCTAATACCCCATCCGACCCCTGCTTGACACCCCGTCTGTCTAGGACCGAAGGCCCGACGACACAAATAGGACCCTGGGCAGGTGACCTTACCGAGCGAACACGTCTGGCACGCCCTCCCAGCCTCACAACTCGGCGCCCAGCACGAGCCCATCGACAAAGGGAGCCCGCCAGTACCGTGGGGCTGCGCCCTGAGGAGGGCGCGGGAACGAGGTGGCGAACTCCTCCTGCACCCACTCCCTTCGAGGATCCCGCAGCCAGCACCACCGCGATACTCCATGTGCACCCCTGGGAAGCCCGAGATGAGCGCAACTGGAACTCCGACCTGGCCAGCCTGGCAGAGGGGCCATCAAACTCGTGCGAGGCGGCCGCTTGCTGTGCACAGGCGCACGCGAACGCTCGACAGACCGACGAAGGCCAGCGCTGGCCAGAGGGAGCCCCGAGCACGCACACAGAGGGGTCGACTTGCGGGGACTGCTGGGCCGCCGCGCCTCCGGCAGGCTCCGCGGCCTTCTTGTCCGCCTTCCGTATCTTGGTCTTGCTCCTCGGCTGGAGGGGGGGGGGACGGACACCCCCACCCGCATCCCCACCCCCAAGCCCCTCTCTCCCCTCCTCTCCGCTGCCCCACCCCGCCTCACCGGGGGGACCACAAATGGTACCGATACCGCTACTCGCTACTCCCCCGGACCTCTCCCATGGGTGCTTTCTGACCCGGATTTTGAAGAGAATCCAGCCGTGATAACGAGGACTCTCCAGGATGAGCAGCGGTTTCGGCATCCGTTCCTCCTCTGACATCCGACTCGCTCCAACCCAATCCGTCTCACTCCTCCTCTCCGCCACCCCACCCCGTCTCAATTGCCCTTCGGGCCGGGCGAAAGGGGGGGATAGCAAAGGGGGGGTTTGAGAATCGGCTCACGTAGCTGATTTTCCCGGCGCCTCCCGTCGCCGGAGGCGGCCATGTATGAAGGAATGGGCCCCTCGGTGGGGCCGAAACCAGCTACATGCAGCAGATTTCGTAACCTAAAACAAGGCTAGGATCGGGATAAATCGCTCCAGAACGTTCCGGAGCGCTCTCAGAGCGTTCCGGAACGCTCTGGAGCGGCCGCAGCGCCCAATACATCCTCCAAACCCGCCGATTCTCAGAGATTTCGAGTTATCCCGATCCGATGTTGTCCCGATCTTCGCGTCGTTTCATAACCCCCCCTTTCCCTATCCCCCCCTTTCGTCCGGCCCGACCTTGGCAGTGGCTCGGCACAGACACGGCACTCCTCTCCCCCAGCACTGTGCTCTGCACGCTGCCGCTTCTCTCTCTCTCTCTTTCTTTCTCTCTCTCTCTCTCTCTCTCTTTCTCTTTTCTCGCGCGTGCTGCGTTTCACGCACAGGACTTCTGCTGGCTGTTGGGGAAACCAAAAGGTACCGACACCGCTACTCCCCGGACCCCTTCCGGGGTGCGCTCGGACCAAAAATTTGAGGCACATCCAGCGGTGGCGACGAGGGCCTCCCATGGAAGGCCCAAAAAGGGGAAAGCGGGCGAAGGGTAGAGGCATGGGTACCTTTTCCTCCTCGGATCTATAGCGGATGTGTGTGAGACTCCGTGTCTCGATCGGACCGTTCTCCGGGCTTCAACCTCCTCCTCCTCCTCCTCCTCCTCCTCCTCCTCCTCCTCCTCCTCCTCCTCCTCCTCCTCCTCCTTTCCCTCCTCCTCCTCCTCCTCCTCCTCCTCCTCCTCCTCCTCCTCCTCCTCCTCCTCCTTCCTCCTCCTCCTCCTCCTCCTCCTCCTCCTCCTCCTCCCTCCTGCTCATTTCCCTCTTCCTCCTCCTCCTCCTCCTCCTCCTCCTCCTCCTCCTCCTCCTCCTCCTCCTCCCCCTCCTCCATCATTCCTTATCCTTATTAAGTAGTAACCCTCCCTGTCGCACCCCGCGGCCAGTTTTTTGGGGGGCGGGCCGGGCGCTCCGCCCGAAAAACCGGCGCTCCCGCCGCAGCGCACCGGCCACGTGTAGGGGGCCACTTGCGAACCCTACCCCTACCCCCCAAAGGGGAGAAGGAAAGGGGAGGAGAAGGGGAGGATGAGGGGGGGGAGGAGGAGGAGGAGGAGGAGGAGGGAGGAGGAGGAGGAGGAGGAGGAGGAGGAGGAGGAGGAGGAGGAGGAGGAGGAGGAGGAGGAGGGGGGGGGTAGGGGTAGGGTTCGCAAGTGGCCCCCCCTACGCGTGCAGAGGTCCGCGCGCGGCACCCGCCGTTTGTCCGCCTCCTGCGCACCAGCTCGCCCCCACGGCGGGCCCGCGGGCCACCGCTCCGGGTCCGGCGCCCGGCCTCGCCGCTGCCGCCCCCTCTCCTCGTTCCGCTCCTCTGCCCCACCACGCTGAGAGGGGGCCCCGGGACACACAGAGAAGTAGGCGTGAGTCGGGCCTGTCCCCCTGCAGGGGGATTTTCGACGAAAAATGAAAATACCCAAAAAATACTCAAACAATAATCCAAAAATAGTCTGGGGACTATTTATTTTTAGGCCTTTTTGATGCATTTTGGGGGTATTTTTAATATTTCGTCGAAAATCCCCCTGTAGGGGGACGCGCCCGACATAAAAATAGGCACAAATGACAGGATTCCCCACCTCTCCCCATGGTTTCTGGGCTCCTGTCTTCCCCCGTCCCCCTCTACCCGTGCTTCCCCATGTCTCCCCTGGGGAGTCGACGATGACTTGTGCATGTGTGTGTGTGTGTGTTTTGTTCCCTCCTGACACGCGCCCCTCCTGGACGCACAGCCGGACCGGACAGCGCAGCACCGACGGCTCATCATGGCACCAGCGCTGCCCAGGCGGTGTGGCCGAGCGGCGCCCGCCAACGAGCACGTACTTCAGCCCGTCTGAGCGCGCGCGCCGCCCCCCTGGGGGCGGGGGGAGCGCAGCACACCTGGCATTAAGTTCATGAAGGGGCCCTGGGGCACACACACACACACACAAATCATGGACACAAACAACAGGATCCCCCATATTTCCCCATCTGTGCTGGGTCTTCGTCTTCCCCCCCACTTCCCACATGTTCCCACAATCTCTGGGGAGTCGACGACTACTTGTGTCTGTGTGTGTGTGTGTTTGTCCCCCTCCTGAGCTAAGTATGCTGGCGGCAAGTTCGTGCCGTGCACAGTTACTTCGGCGCTGCTTCCCGACACCGCGGGGATACTTCGACCTTGAACGTTCGGCCGCTTCCGCAACGACAGATCGCTCAGCATCGACCGCTTCTCGGTCGCCAGCGGCGCTCCACGTGGGAAGCCGGCGGCGGGGCCGCCGCCGGTCGACGCGACGCGAACCTGGCGCAGATATGCTTAGGTGGTGCCGGCGTTCCTCAGGGGCGCTGCCGCGGGGCCACGAGGGCACAACATCGGGTCGATGGGTCGGACCGGCGATCGAAGTGAAGCGTATCGGCGGGAATCGGCAGCCAAGTCGATCCCAAGTCGAAGCGGCGGAACTCGGCAGGCTGATAGGGCCTCCGTTGGGAAACCGAAATCCGCCGACCCCCGCGTGCCGGGGGTGAAAATGCGTGTGAGGAATTTGGCTGCCCCTCTCCTTCTTCTGGCGCCCGGGAAGCCTTCCCCGGAGTTGGGTTTTCGCCTGCATGTTTCCCAAAATGCTGCTCTCGCAGAGGCGCCGGCCTCATTTTCGGGCCCCGCTCGTTCCGAATCGTGCTCTCGCTGCAGCGCTGGCCTCATTTCCGTGCTTCCCAGGCCGATTCCAGCGTGCTTCCGCTCGTTCCGAATCGTGCTCCCGCTGCAGCGCTGGCCTCATTTCCGCGCTTCCGCTCGGCAGCGCTGGCGTCATTTCCCGTGCCATGCCACGGCATGCAATGCAATGCTAGGTTGATACTACGCTTCACGGTGCTCTTCTACGCCATGCCATGCCGTGCTCTACAATGCATCGCGTACCTTTTCGGAATCATCGCCCTGCTTGACATCCGACTGTGCAAGTAGAGAGGGGATCTGCGCCATGGTAAGGGATGGGAGGGAGGGGTAGGATGTCAGATATGACGCGAGCGCACCTAGCTTGTTCTTACCCCCTCCCCCAGGGTCCAAAATTCGGTTTGAGGGGGGGGGGTCCCCGAGCTCCCCGGCGCACCCATGGGGCATCCAGAGCCTGCAAAGCCACCCTCCGTGGCCGCCAAGGTCCCAGGATGCTCGCTGAGAGGGCTCAGGAGCTCCAATGCAGTGATCGACCTAACCTAAGGAACGATAAATAAGGAACGAAGCCCCTTTTCTCAAAGTAAGTCTACGAAGTCCGAGGGAACGGCCGAGCCCCTTTCCAGCACCAAAAAGGTAGCGGAACGCATGCAAACCTAAGGAACGACCGAGCCCCTTTCGAGAAGTTGCTGTTCCTTGTTCAAGCCGCTCAATGTACGCCAGAGGGGCCTCAAGAACACCCAATGTAGCCTCAAGACGGCCCCATCAGTTTTTGCATGATTTTCGCGTGCTCCGCTCTCTGGCGTCCGCACGCTCAAGAGGGCCCACGAGGCCCCCCAGACTGGCCCAACCAGCCCAAGAGACTCTCAAAACGGCACGGAGACGGCCAAGGGGTGGGCCCCAGGACGCCCAAGAGGCCCCCAAGACGGCAAACAGAAACTTGAATGGAGACCCCAAAAAAGAGGCCCGAGAGAGGCCCAGGAGGGAGAACCCGCAGAGTTCCTGGGAGCCCCGCCCAAGAAGACGGCCCCCAAGACCGCCAACTGGCTCTACAGTCATCGGCCTGACCTAAGGAACGATAAATAAGGAACGCAGCCCCTTGTTGTTCCAAGTGAGTCTAAGAAGTCCGAAGGAACACCAGGGGGGCTCGCCGCCAAAAAGGTAGCAGAACGCATGCAAACCTGAGGAACGACCGAGCCCCTTTTGAAAAGGAAAGGTTCCTTATTCAAGCCGCTCACTGTAAGGAGCCCCCCGACAGCCCCCCAAGGGACCCCCCAACCCCCCAGGGGCTTCGAAGAAGCTCCAACAGGCGGCCACCTGGGCCGCCGGCAGGCCCCAAAGATGCCCCCCATAAACTCCAGCAGCCTGCACAGATGCAGTCGGGGCCTTGACCTAAGGAACCCTAAATAAGGAACGAGGCCGCTTTTTCCATAAGTAAAACTTCGATTTCCTATCGAAAACATAAGGAAAACCTGAGGCAAGCTGTGAAACACTTAAGGAACGCGGAGCCCCTCCCCAACGAAAAGGGTTCCTTCTTCAAAGCCCCGACTGTACTCACATGAGACCCCCCTGAGGCTCCCGAGAATCCCCAAAGACACCCCCTGTCTGCACGAGGTGGTCTCAAACAAAGCCCGGACAACATTACCCCGTTGTCCTCGATGTCCTCCTCCTTTTCCTCCTTCCTCTCAGCGTCGACGTTACCTATTTCATCCTTGTGCTCCTTCTTCCCCATGTTCCGAATCCCAAGATGAAAAGGTTACATCGACCATCCGCGACGTCTCTCCGGCGGTCTACCGTTTCATGCGCGACGCGCGACATATTTCAGTTCTCCCTCCTGAAAACCGCAGGAAAAGCGAGCCCCATGCGCGGAGTAGCGACTGCTCGGCGGCCATTCCTCCCACGCACCTGGACACCTGCAGGACATGCGCGCGACGGCGGCCAAGAAACAGCCAGGAAGCGCGTTCAGGACACGCCGACGCCCACCAAGACGCCCACCAACACGCCCGCCAGGCCTCATGTCGCCTGGGGGTCGGCGGCATGGCCTATAAGCCCCTGCTGTGCAACGCGGAACCCGAAGCCGCCTCGCATCGGAACCGACGCCGCTCGAGATCAGACCAGATCGGGCCGGAGGCGTCGCAGTCCGACCAGCCACAACTGGGGGAGCTGTGGTCCTTACCCCCCTGCGGGAACCCCTCGAAGCCCTCGCGTCGACGATCTCTCGACAGGGGTGTCGCAATCGATGGGTCCCCCAGGGGGGTAAGGACCACAGCTCCCCCAGTTGTGGCTGGCCTGGCAGTGAGCCCTGCGGCGCGGCGGCTCCTGCCCTTGTCCGCGGGCTCCCTCCCCGGGTCCGCGGCCCCGTCCGGCCGGCGGGGCTGGAAGTCCAGGCCGGCCTCCCTCGGGGCGCCCGCCGCCTCGGCGGGGCGCACGCCGTCGTCGACGTAGCAGTACCTCCGCGCGCGCCAGCCTGCCATCGCTCGGACGTCTATTCCCTGTGTTTTTTGTTGGTTTCGTGCGTGGTTTTTCCCGCCAAATGATCAAGGATGCTCCTCGATGGTCCCCGCCGAAGGAAAAGAAGCACACGTCCGAGCGATGCCAAGCCCCCCGCACGCGCGGGGGAGGGGCTCGGTCCAGGCGGAGGAAGGCCGCACGGAGACCGAGCACTCCAGATGGACTCTACCCGTGTGGGCTCGGACTCGGCCGACCCCCTCCCCCCCCCCATCCTTCTCCAGGACGGAGCAGGGAGCGGGGCAAAGGCGGACGGGGACAGGTCGGGATCTCTGAGAGACGCCGATTCTGGAGGGTGCTTCCGGCGCCGTGGCCCTTCCCCTCCTAAGTGTTAGCCCGCGCAGACCCCAAACAATGTGTTCTTGCACTACGCAGTGAAGCCTAGACGCTGAAACAAGTTTTTCCAACTGATGGGTTGTCAACTCCACAACTCGCGCGATCCCCCCACCCTGCCACCCGCAACTTGGTCGCAAAAACTATACGCCTGCGATTGTGACGACTGATTGGCCATGGCTGGCGCATCTCTGCAGTCGTGCTGGCGCACGCAAGCTCGCGCGCAGAGCGGCCAGCTGGTCTGGCACAACCGATGCAGCCGCGATGGCGCTTACCGATGGGAACTTCCCAGCGCGTGTCGAAGGCCGCGCTGGCGCGCATGCACTTCAATGCGGGGCGGTGGCTCGGGCGGGCGAGGTGTGATGATGACGTCGAAAACGGCGACAACGATGATGACACTAGCGATGGTGGTGGCGATCACGACGATGACGGCAAGGACGGAGCCGATGCTGGTGATGACGAGGGCGACGATGATGCCTATGTGTCGATGATGAAAGTGTTTGGGTGATCATGGCGGCAATGGCAGGCGGCGATTGTCGATGACGATAACGTGATGCGGTGGCGCTGCTGGGGGTAATGGCGAGGAACTGCGCGCGCGGAAATCCAATAACCTTGGCAAACAGTTCGTGGTAACACGTGTGGCGGGCCATACGTGTTTGAAGAGCTCTACTTTGACACGCTTAGGAGCAAATTGCTGTGGACGGATTTCGACACGCTCGCGTGGCGGCGCGATGATGTGGCTCATATGATAATACGTTGTACGGATTCGTGCACTGGGCGCATGTGGTTCAACGCAGACGCACCGCGGTGTGAAATGAAAAGGGACGTGCCGGGCGAGATTGCTGAAATGGTATGGTTGTCCTCTGATTTCCAGAGCGCACTAGCAGAGATGGTTAAAGAATTGCGGTGGGAAATCTAAACTTGTGGCATACATTTATGCTGAAATCCTGGCAGGACTCGTTTGTTTGGCTTGATTTCGATAGGTGTGTGCGCAGGTGGGCGTTGTATCTCCTCCTCCTCCTCCTCTTAGTCATCCTCATTCTCGTCCTCATCCTTCTCCTCCTCGATTAATCCTCCACCTCCTCATCCTCCTCCTCCGCCTCCTCCTCCCCCTCCTCCGCCTCATCCTCCTCCGCCTCAGCCTCCTCCTCCTCCTCCTCCTCCTCCTCCTCCTCATCCTCATCCCCATCGATCTTTATCCGCCTCGACACTGATCCCCCTCGACGCTCCTCCTCCTCCTTCTCCTCCTCCTCTTCCTTCTCCTCCTCCTCCTCCTCCTCCTCCTCATCATCATCATCATCATCATCATCCTCAGACTCCTCCTCCTCCTCATCCTCCTCCTCCTCCTCATCATCACCACCACCACCACCACCACCAACACCACCACCACCACCACCACCGTCATCATCATCATCATCATCACCATTACCATCACCATCATCATCATCATCATCATCATCATCATCATCATCATCAGCATCATCGTCATCATCATCATCATCCTCATCCGCATCCTCATCATCATCCTCATCTTCATCATCATGATCATCATCATCATCGTCATCGTCATCATCATCACCATCGTCATCATCATCATCAGCATCATCATCATCATGATGCTCATCATCATCATCATCACCACCACCACCATCATCATCATCATCATCATCATCGCCATCGTCATCATCATCATCATCAGCAGCAGCATCATCATCATCATCAGCATCAGCATCATCATCATCATCATCATCAACATCATCATCATCATCATCAGCATCATCATCACTACCACCACCACCACCACCACCACTTCCACCACCATCATCACCACCACCACCACTCACCCTCATCCAACTCCTCCCCCTGCTCCTCCTCGACCCTCATCTCCCCGATCCTCCCCGATCCTCCCTGATTCCTCTCGCTCCTCCCCGATCCTCCTCGACTCTCTTCCTCCATCCTCATCGACCCTCTTCATCCATCCTCCTCGATCCTCCTCCAGGTGGGGGGGGGGGCGCGCACCTTCTGCGCGGGAAGAACACGGGGCTGACGGAGCTCGACGAGCCGCCTCCAGCGGGCGGGCGCCGACGACGGCGGCGGCGGCGGCGACGCCGCACGACGACGGCGATCACCACCGCGACGGCCACTGCGACGGCGGCCACCACGCCAACCTCCGATGACCACGACCACGACGGCCACGACGACGGTCGCGGGGCCACCCACCACAACTACAGCCACCTTGACGACCACGGGGCCTCGAGGAGGGCACTTTGACGTGGGACAGCGAACACTGGAGGGTCCCCCCCCCCAGGGTCCTCCGGACGGCGTCCGCACCATCGACGGCGGCGACGGTCGGCTCGAGACCGCTCACTCACTTGTATCCGCTCGCGGGCCTCTTCAGCGCGTGTGCCCCGGGCCGTCGGCTCCCACCCTCACATTTGCCTGTGAGTCCTGTAGGAGCGCGCCCCATTGCGCGGGAGACTCTTTGCTCGTGCCGGCTGCGGGGTGAGCTCCGACCAGACACCGCACGGAGGCCGGGCGGGCCGAGCCGGACGAGCGGGGGCGGGGCAGGCGGAGCCCCACAGAGGGAGGGGCCTGGAGGGCGGATTCCTCACAGCCCGGCCAGGCAGGCGGGACATCAAAGCGGACGGGCGTGCTTGCGAGCGAACGAACGGGCAGACCCTCATGGGCGGGTCGGGCGGGCGGGCCCTGGCAGGTGGGCGGGCGGGCGGACCCTGACGGGCGTGCCAGGCGGATGAAGTGGGCGGGAGCGAACGCGCGATTCCTGCACGGCGAGCGCGCAATCACGGCGTAGATTGCGAGGAAGTCTGCAGCGACGGCGAAAATTCTCGGTGAACTATACAGATGTGCCAGGCCAGACCGCGATTCAATCTAAATTGCACGGATGCCCACGGCGAGAACAGAACTTCTGCGCGAAGAAAAACGCGATTCCTTCAGAATTTCGGAAAAGTCCCGCGCAAGAGCGCGACTCTTCAGAAATTCGCGAGATGAAATCTCCAGCGAGAGAGCGACTCCAAGCAGATCGTGCGAAAAACTGCGGCGGGAGCCGTTGGTATAGAAAACGGGGGGGACCAGAGGCGCAGTTCCTCCTGCTGCTGCGCACTTCCCGCGGTGTCCCCAAACGTGCTGTGGAAGAGAAAGGAAGGAAAAGCCAGGCAGCAGCAGGGCAGACAGCGGAGCGGCGGCGGCGGCGAAGGCGGCGACATTCCGACGCGCACGCGCCATCGAGCGGCACCGTGCCCGAAAGCCCCCCCCCCAAGGTGTGGATCTGAGCGCACAGAGGCGATGGGGCAAGGGGCAAGCTCCCAACCGATCTCAACTCCCTGTTTCTCTAGCAGTTCATCCTTTTCCTCCTCCTCCTCCTCCTCCTCCTCCTCCTCCTCCTCCTCCTCCTGCTCCTCCTCCTCCTCCTCCGCCTCCCCCTCCTCCTCCTCCTCCTCCTCCTCGTGGGGAAACACACTGGTACCGGTACCGCTACTCCCTGGACCTTTCCCAGCGAATTTCGAAGCGAATCCAGCGCTGGCGGGATGCCCAAAAAGGCGAAAACGAGGCAAGGAAAGTGGTATCGGTACCTCCTCCTCCTCCTCTTCCTCCTCCTCATCTTCCTCTTCCTCCTCCTCCTATTCCTCCTCCTCTTCGTTCTCCTGTGGCGAGTGGGCGGCGCTGCCCGAAGTCGATGCGCCCCGCAGACGGAAGGCGCCCTTCGAGTCCACCTGCGCCACGACGGCCACCTCCCCGGCAGCCAGCGTCCACTCGCCCGACGTGACCGGCCTGCCGCCGTCCTTCCGGACCTTCGGGCGCGCGCGCGCTCCGCGCGAAGCGCCGCTCGGTGCGCCTCTGCCTACCTCCCCGCCTGCCTGTCACCCGCCCTCGGCCCACACCCCCATCCTCATTTTCCTCCTCCCTCTCAGCCTCCTTCCCCTCCTCCAGCGGCGGCGACGGCGAGATCGGCGATGACGGGCGAATGGCGGCGACGGGCGGCAACGGGCGGCGGCGGCGGCGGCGGCGGCGGCGGCGGCGGCGGCGGCGGCGGCGGCGGCGGCGACGACGACGACGACGACGACGACGACGACGACGACGACGACGACGACGACGACGACGACGACCGTCGGTGCGGCGGCCGCGCCGGGCCTTGTTCCCGATGGCGGGCCACCGCACCATGCAGCTGCGGACGACCTGTCCCGAGGGGGGGGGGGGGGAAAGGGGACAGGGGAGGAAACGGAGGAGGAGGAGGATGATGAGGAGGATGGCCGACGCCGTCGAGTTCCAAAATCGAGCTAAGAGCCTGGCAAAAAAGTGGTTGTGCGCCTCTTGAGGCTGTCGACGGGCGTCTGCTTGGACTTCCCGGGGGACGACGTCTACACATCGCTGGAGTCTGGGCCCGCCCCTCACATAGTTTGTTGTTTCACGAAGCGCTTCGTATATGGCTATGTCAATCCTGCTGATGTTTCGGTCAAGACCAGCTCAAGGGTCTAGCTAAGGCATGCATCAATCCATATCGAAGACGCGCCGCGAGAATCTAGATCGAATCTCTCGCGATTTGCATCCCAAGGCCTGAGTCTCAGCCTTTGAATCACACTTGTGATAGCGGAATATCCTGGAATATCCTCCTCCTGCTCCTCCTCCTCCTCCTCCAACTCCTCCTCCTCCTCCTCCTCCTCTTCCTCCTCCTCCTCCTCCTCCTCCTCCTCCTCCTCCTCCTCCTCCTCCATCCCTCTTCCTTATGGATCACTCACGACTGTCGCGCCCCGAGGCCGGTCGGTAGGGCGGGCCGGGCATGTCGCCTGAGACTTCTTCACGATGGACTGTCCTTAAGCTGACAATTCGCAACACGGATAGAAGGCGGGCTGTTTTCAAATTGTGGGTAACGCCTTAGCGCCGCGCACATCCGTCTGCAAAAACTGCACGAGCTTCACAGATGGAGGGCGGCACCTTACTATCGAAATGTGGCCTCGCCTTAGCACCGCGCACACTCGGTTTTCAAGCCATGCAAATGTTTCAAAAGCTCTTATCGTTAACGGCCTAAGAATGGTGGTTTGGCACGATGTGGGACTGTCAGGGCACAACCGTCAGGTTGGCTGGTGGCGTTGAAGTTCAAGGAATGGTTTTCTGGCGCGGTTCAAGATTTTCAGACGGATGTCTTCCAACGGGGCACTGACCTCAGTGAACATGAATCCTTGAAGGGGCCTATGAAGAGGGAATTTGGAGGGAGGGTTTATTGCAACATCGTTGATGGGTCTTTGGTTAACACTGGTCCTTGTCCTCCTCCTCCTCACCCTACTGATTATCCTCCTCCTTGTCCTCCTCCTCGCGGGACAGGATCCGTCAGCAACGAATCAACAAATCGCATGGATTCGGAGAGTACGCATCGGATTTGGATGCATCGGCAATGAGTTTCGGAATCTAATCGAATCGGCTGCGCCAGGATGCACCACAACTCCATGCGAACATCGGGCCGAATCATCGTCGGATCGGGCCAGTCGGAGTCGACATCGAATCGGATCGATCGGATCGAAATTCACGCCGCCAGGGGGGGGTCACCGTCAGTGGGGGGTCGCCACCTCGTCGAGGAGGACGACCCCCAAACATCGATGATCCTCAGATCGTGTGTCAGCGCCAACGTGTGCTCGTCCACCGAAGCCATTCGGCATTACGCAGGCGGCATTACGAGGGGCGCGGCACAGGCTGCGTGCTGTCGGCGGAACTGAGCGGGGCAATACGTACACAGATGGGGCCAACCAACGGCCTGAGGATCGTCGGCAAGAGCTCCATTCGGGATCCCCAAACAGGGTCTGGTGAGCGCTCGGGCCGGCCAAGTCGACCCAGGTGAGCGAGCGAGCGAGCGGAAGCGCGTGTCAATGACTATGCGCAACGCTGATGACAGAGAGAGGGCGGAGCAATAAGATGGGAAACCTACCGCTCCGCTGGGAAAGCAGGGCCAGGAAGGCGCTGCGGGCAGCAAGAGTGCGCCCAAGCCGCGGCGGCAGGCCGCCACACTCAACGTGGCCGTGGGGCGGCAATCCCACGGCCCATTGGTGAGGTCAGTGCGCTCTTCGGGCGGCTCCGGGCTCCTCGCGAGCCCGCGGCGCGGACCTGGCTGTCTTGCTGCTCCATACCCCCTGCGATATGCTTAAGAAATCATGGGTTAAGAAATTCATAGTCTCAGAATTTGAATAAAAACCCAGAACTTCGATTAGAATCATAGGATTTACGTTGAAACATTAAGAATAATCGAGACTCTGGCCGAAAACTTAAGTTTTCTTAAGCATCGCCTAGGGTGTACCCCGGAGCCCCCCCCCCAGGCAGCCCCCCAAGACGTACCGGGCCTCCTCGGCCCGCGGATCCTCGAAGCCGCGCTCGGGAGGGAGGAGCCAGCCACCCCTGGGCGGTGACTCACCCTGGCATCGCCAGCGGCTCCCGCCCCTCCCCGACGGGGTCGGGGAGGGGGGGACGAGGACGGCCAGGGGAGGGGGGGCGCCCGTCGAACGGAGCAGGAGGGGGGGGGGAGAAGAGGCACTCGCATTCCGAGGCTGCCTGGCAGCGGACCCCCCAGAGGCCGGCGGCGAGGCTGGGGAGGTGCCTGAACGTACGAGAAGCCCGCCATCGGCAGGAACTTCGGGGTCGTCGCGCCCGAGGGGTTGCGGAGCTTGAAGTCGAGGTAGGGGCCGACCTCTGGCCGGGCTCTCGCGGCCACGCTCCCGAGACCCTGGTCAAAACGCACCCCAGAAAGAGGCCCCGGGGTGGGGGTCGCGGTCTCTGCATAGGGAAACAAGCTTCGGACAGAGCAACATGCATCCCGACGCCGACGCCACCGCCGATGACGATGACGATGACGATGACGAGGACGAGGACGAGGACGAGGACGAGGACGACGACGACGACGACGACGACGACGACGACGACGACGACGACGACGAGACGACGACGACGACGACGACGACGACGACGATGGTCCACAGTGGGACCATCGGGCTGCGGGCTGCGAAGCTTCAGGCCAGAGTGGGCGCCAACCTCGAGCAAGGGATTTCGGCGGCCCAGACGGGGACAGGTCAGGACAGGGCAGGCGCGCCGACACTGCCCAGACGCGCAATGCGGAGCGGCGGGGCAAGAGCCCCTCACAGACTCTCACCCTGCTGATCCGGCGTCGAGGGTGGGGCGCGTGCACGGGGGAGAAGGAAGCAGGATGAGCGGGAAGGGGAGGAGTACACCCTGCGAGATGCTTAAGAAATCATGGGTTAGAAATTCATAGTCTCAGAACTTGAGTAAAAACCCAGAACTTCCACTCAAATCTTAGGATTTACATTGAAAAGTTAAGAATAATCGAGACTCTGGACTAAGGTGTAGGAGGGGGTCGTCGCGCACTGCGGGCTGCGGAGCTTGAAGTCGAGGCAGGTGCACAGGGTTGATGCAGGTGCCTGCTCGTCGTGACGACTCGACACCCTCGTGAGGAGGGCGCGGAAAACGGCATCCTCCCTCCTGCTGGCTTCTGGCGGAGGGCATTCTCGGACTGTGCTGCGTCCTCGGACAGCGCTCAATCCTCGGACTGTGCAGCGCCCTCGGACCATGCTGCGTCCTCCCGTCCCGCCACCGTCCTGCGTCGTCAGACAACTCTGCGTCCTCGGACAGTGCATAAATCTATGCACTGTCCAGGGACGCGGCTTTATATAAAGCCGCGTCCTCGGACAGTGCTCGGACAGTGCTGCGTCCTCCTCCGCTGCCTTCCTGCGTCCTCGGACAGTGCGAGTGCCGCGTCCTCGGACGGTGCCTGTACCATGCCGATCCTCAGGGATAGCTCTGTCAACCTCCACCACATCGCAGGCTGGCTGAAGGTCCGTCTCTTCCGCGCCCTGACCGTCGCTGGGGAGCATCAAGCGGCGCCACGCGCGGCCAGGCCGCCCTGGGTGGCCTGGCTGCTGCGGCCCTGGATGGGCCCACCGATGGCTGCGGCACTGCCGGCAGATGCGGCTCCATGTTCGGGGTGATCTCCTGCACCAAGGGACCACGCCGGCAACAGCATCCCATCTGTGCAAGGCCATGGGCGAGTACGTCGAGCGGGCCGCCACGTGGAAGAAGCCAAATACCTCCTTGATCATGTCCAACACATTATTACGACTGATGGGGACATACGGAATGCCAGCGCACACCACTGCCTCCCAGCGGCTACTGCTTTGCCAAGCAGCGTGGAGGTGCTAGCCCCACCCTTCCCGGAGGAGGTGGGCCACTGGTTCAGAGGGCTAACTACCATTCAGGGTGTGCCTGCCGCCAGATGATGTCTCCCCGATGCCCGGGTGCGTCCAGGTCCGAAGCTCCTGCCCCGTCCAACCAGTCCTCACAGCATGCTGGCGCAAGACGCCGCCCCAACCGCTCTGCGAAGGCCACGGCAACGGTTCCGTGAAGCCGACGTCTGCGATCCGCCTCTCCAGCGTGCACGCCGCGGCCTTGACGGCCACCTGATGCGCTCGGAAACGGACGTCGCTCTTGTGCCCTCCCAGCAACACTTTCAGGTGAGGTAGGACCCGACCCGACCTCGACCAAGGTTCCGTGGGTGGCATCCGCGAGGGACCCTGTCCGCCCCATCGCGCCGTCCGCATCAGATCCGCGGATCCGCGTCGGGTCCATACCGAGCTTGTCCAGTTCGCGTCAAATCTGCGTCGAATCCGCCGTGTCGATCATACGTCGGGCACCAGAAAAGGACCACCCTTCACAGGGCTGGTGAGGACACCCGCAGCTGCAGCGTGAAAGAACTGGGGGCAAGGCGAGCGGCTGCGCTCCGCCCAAGAGGGAGCGCCCCTGGGCCCAACCACCAGCGCAGCCAGCAGTCTGAAACACCGGATGAAAAAGCAACATCTAGGCGATCGACAACTTATCCATGCCCCTGCCACTCCCCGGCCCCCAGCCTCACGAGGGGCCAGAGCGGGGAGATGGGAAAAAAACGCATGGCCTCCGAGGCCACGTTTTTTTGTATCCATACCCTGCGGCGCCTGGCGCCCAGAGTGTGGGGGGCAACCGCAGGGGCACGGATCGAACGTCAATCGCCGAGCAGACCGTCCGGTGCGTGGACCTAAGGAACCCTAAATAAGGAACGAGGCCCCTTTTTTCCATAAGTTAACCTTCGATTTCCTGTCGAAAACCTAGGGGAAACCTGAGGCAAGCTGTGAAGCACTTAGGGAACGCGGAGCCCCTCCCCAACGAAAAGGGTTCCTTCTTCAGGGCCCCGACTGTACCGTCCAGTGCGTGGAGAAGAAATCAGGCTCAGGCAGTCACGCACGAAGTGAGATTCAGAGGCCCTTGGTGGTGACGAGAGTGGGGCTGGCTCCAGCTGCTGAACTACTGGCTGCGGGGCTTCGGAAAGAGCACAAGAGACCTCCAAGAGACTGTCCTGCGCTTCGGAGTGCCTCAACGTTGCCTCCCAAATGGCCCCGCTCCTGCCAGGCCTACAGGACGCCCCAGACAACAACTGAGAGACGAGCTACAGCTTTGCCAGGACGTTCCCTGCAGCGCGGTGGCGGATATGCGCGGCAGCGCAAACAGATGTATAGGTGATATCCCTGAAGGACAGCGAGACTGGGGGAAAGAGAGAGAGAGAGAGAGAGAAAGAGCGGGGGAGACAACAAACACACGATATATATATATATATATATATATATCCGCCGGCCCCGTTGTGGGGCCAACAGGCTGTAGGACGAAGTTGCTGCTCCCTGCTAGTTACAGTCCTGCTGGCTGCTTCCTACTGTGAATTGTTGCTGAACGCGCGAGGGGGGGGGGGAGCCCCAAACCGCCCAATTTACCGCGCCGGGATTCGTGGGGGCCATGGGACACGCAAAAATATATGAGAGTCGCGTCCCAGAGGCAATGATCCATCGTAATTTACGCGATGTGCGCGTCCCCGAGGCCACAAACCCTGGTAAATCATACAAGTATTGCTTCCCCGAGGCAAGAACCCACCGTAAATTACGCGATAGTCGAGTCCCCGAGGCAACAAACCTTTGTAAATGAGAAGATTCGCGTCCGCGAAGCCATAAACAATAGCGAGTTACTCGATATTCGCACTTCTGAGGCCAAGAGTGCTCCAAGGCGCTCGAAGATGTTTCCAAGACGGCCCAAGCGGGCCTTAAGCGGCCCCAGGAGCGCTCCAAGAGGCCTCCCGAGAAAGCCCCAAGAGGCCAACATCGGAGATGTTACGAAGGTGTTTGAAGGACTTTGGCCTTCTTGCAGTTTCGGCTTTCCGACGCTCCAATACGGCTCAATCAACCCCCAAGACCGCCCCAAGACAACCCAAGACGCCTCCAAGAGGGCCCCAAGACGGCCCAAGAGGGCTCCAAGATGGCCCAAGAAGTGCTCAAGACGGCCCAAGAGGGCCCCAAAGACGGCCCCAAGAGGAACCCAAGCAGGGGACCACGAACCGAACATTCGATACTCACGCCCAGAGAAGCCCCCAGGAGACCCCAAGAGGCCGCCAAGAGGCCCCAAGAGGCCCCAAGACGCGCCCAAAAGGCATCCAAGAGGCCCAAAAGATACTCCACGAAGCCCCAAGAGGCCCCCAAGAGGCGGCCAAGAGGGCCCCCAGACGGCCCAGAGGCCTCCAAGACGCCCAAGATGGCCTCCAAGACGGCCCTGGAACACCCCAGGAGGGTTTCAAGTCGGCCCAGAGAGGCTCCCAAGACGGCGTCCGACGTCCGACGGCGTCAGACGGTCCAGGAATGCCTTGAGACAGCCAAAGGGGCCCCCGAGAAGCCCCGAAAGGCCCCCAAGAGGCCCAAGGAGGCCCCCACAATGCCTCCAAGAGGCTCCCAGAAAGCTCCCAGGAGGCCCCAAGAGTGCCCCCAGAGGCTCCCAAGACGCCTCCTCCTCCTCCTCCTCCTCCTCCTCCTCTTCCTCCTCCTCCTCCTTCTGCTGATCTTCCCCGCCATCCTCCCCTAAGTGCTCCCCGAAGGGTTTCCACAACGGTTGGAGGAACACATGGTCCGATAGCTTGGCAGAGCTCTTGCCACATCGCTCGACCACGTGAATTCGCCGAAGGCGTCTTCGATAACGCCAACGTCTCAATCTGCGCTGGTGATTCCTATCCGTCCCCGCATGATGTTCCCAGTTGCGCCAAGGCAGCGCCGAGACGCACCGACGCGACTCTGATATATCCCATTATGATAATGAGGGGGCCGGCGGCAGGGGGCGAAGCCCTTGCGGATATGTCCGCCGGCCCCCTTGTGGGGCCACGAGGCTGTAGGACCAGGGTTTGCTGTTCCCTGCACCAGTTCCAGTTTCCAGTTTCCACTGTTACAGTTCTGCATCTTGTTGATTACTGATCCTTGTTGTAGACCGCGCGAGGGGGGAAGCCGAAAACCGCCCTAGTTAGCACCTCCCGGGAGAGGTCTCAGAATTTCTGGGGGGGTCGAAATTGACACCCCTCACGCAGATCGGCTGGGTCTGAGTCCAAAAATACATGGGATTTGCCACATCTCTGAGATTCGGTGGCACCCCTCACGCAGATCGGCGGGGTCAGGGTCCAAAAACCCATGGGATTTGCTACATTTCTGAAATTCGGCGACACCTCTCACGCAGATGAGCAGGGTCAGGTTCTAAAAAAACATGGGATTTGCAGATCGGCGGGGTCAGGGTCCAAAAACACATGGGATTTGCCATGATGGGCTTGTTTTCCACCACCACCACCAC